CTTACTCACACAAATATAGAAATCGCCTAGCTGATCACCCGAACTTGCTCGCGAGAAAACTTCAAATCAACTCTACCAGGGCCCGATTAAAAAGAAAATTTCTTCTCACTAATCAACAATAGATGAGACCTTCGACAAATAACTGGCAATGGTCAGATGATTTGTATTTTGCCAACGCCTTCAGTTTCATGTCAAATATTTTACTTGTTGTCCGTTTCAGGACAGTTGTAAAAATTATTAAAATAATAAAAAAAAGGTGTGCAACGCACACTTTGCTGGTATATGCAAAAGGAACACAAGAGGCGCTTCACTGAAAATTAATGCTTTGCCTACATTAAATATGCCAGGTACATCTAGTCCTAGACAATATTAGAATACCATGTGTTTATAGTCGCAACTAGTTACACGAACCACCTTGCTGATAAGCATATTTTCACCTATATAAGGATGCGAGATCTCTATACTCGAGGAGAATAACTATATATAATTTTTGCCAGTTCACATACCAGTTCATTATTCATTATATAATAATATTATAAAATTGAAGTATTTTGTATAATCAATTGTAATTTTAAGAAATAAAGTTTGCCTTCTTTTATTCTGTATGATAGAATTCGCAATCGTCTATCACAGATATCCATTGATAGAATATTTAGACGTCGGAAGCATATAGAACAAAAGTAATTATAGAAGTAACAAAGATTGTAGAATTGATTTTGGAAAGGCCTAACGCAGGATTTCCATGCAATTCAAAATCAAGAAATTAAAGGTAAAAAATATTGTGTGTGAAAAGTGCGAAGAGGATAGTCACCAAAGAACCCTAAACTGGTGAGTGAAAATTTTTTATTTGATAGTAAAATTGCCAATTCTCCCTTATCCTTCCAACGCTGGAGATAAGAAAGCAATTTTTACAATTAATTTTTATTCAATTAATTGAAGACTTTATAGCAGTTAATTTTATTTTTAAATTCCATTGAAACATTATTCCGATAATTTAATAAAAAATTTATAAAAGTTTTTAGCAAATATGTCGATTCAAAATATTCCTAAATTTAATAATGCATAGATCGATACTATTCCAAAATTTGGCGTAAACCCCGCAAAATTAAATTTAAGAGTTGAAGAAATTAAAAATAGGTACTACCTTTATACTTGTTAGCTTTCTGAAGGAGAAGTTTATGTGTTCATCAAAAAATCCGATTCGCTTATTTTATGTTTTCTCAATTCTGAATCGATTATTTTATATTTTCGCAATTCTGAATCGATTATGCAAATTCAAAAACCGTTCGAAAGATTTTGGTTGGGAATCGTGCTGATTAAATTTTGATAGAAATCGGCCGGGCCGTTTTCTTGTAATAAAGTGTTAAAATTAATTTTTCGACGATTTTTATTATTATTTTTTCAACGGTAGATACCATAGTCTTATACATCTTACCAAAATATTACGACTGTACGAAAACTAGTTTAACTTTCATATGGTTTGCTGTGCTCGGTGTTGTTGGTTTCTATCACTACTATTTTAGTCTTTTTATTTGAAAACTCGCTGTTTTTTAATAGGAACAAAACATTTCCAATTTTATCTCCCCCAATTCCAAAATTGGCAGCGTTGAAAGTTTCAAATTTGCACAAATTTGCAATTAGAAAGTCTCCGATGAATATCATTTCGTGGTCAATTTTTAACCGTTTTAAGTTATTTTGATGTTTTTGACACCGAGTGTTATTTGACCTTGGAGTTTGCAGAGTTTTCGTACATAGTGAATAACTATAATAAAAAATGAGCAACTTAATTTCCAATCCGAACCATCTTATAATTCCGATAATTCAATGTTTTATGTAAAGATATCTTCATCAAAATTCTGATATAGACAGGCACAAATTTTCTAAATTATTATAGTAACTTACAGAATCTCGGGAATGTCTGCACAAAATTGTAAATTATCACCTAATACTAACTATTATCTCAATTATTACTATATTATCTAAGCTTATTACAATAGCTTACAGAAACTCGCAGAAGCGCTACGTTGTGGCTTCCTGCCGCTTGGCGAACTGAATCGCCCCAGCTTGCTGCATCGTTCTGGTACTAAAATAATAATACTATCATAACTTATTGCTAAGTATATTTACCAATGCATTTATATAATACTATATAAATTTAACATTACCTTATCAACATAAATTTTAAGATGTAGACCCTCAATGTTTTTCAATAAATTGAAAAATAAATCTATATATTTTACGATCAAAAGGCAGATCGAACGGCAACGAAACCACCGTCCCCTGCTAAGCCTTAATCTCTTTAGATATTTTAGTTAAAATTTCTCCAATTACTTGGAGCTCGTAATTTGCCATAAGAAATCCTCCTGAATCGTCTGAGTCTTCGATTCAAATTATGTCATCAAAGGGAAAATATGTTTTTTCCTGCCGATTATGAGCAGTCTCAATATGTTTGGATTTAGATGCCAAATCTTGAAACCTTCTCCGGCAATAAAAGTGCCTCGGCCTTTTTTCGTTCGATAAACTTCATAAAATTCATGTAATCATTTTCATAGCTCACGGTTATGGAATCGAGATCATTTTTCTTGGCGCTGTATAGTGCACTTTTACTCATCTTGAAAAATGACTCACTCTGTCAAATTAGAATAATACATGATTATCTGTTCTCTCGAATTGTCGAATACATTGGTATATGTATTATAATTTATTAATTTAAATATATGTATAATTTATTACGATATGATATAAGTATACGATCGCTTATTCACTTATTAACTATATCATTATTAATCATTACAACGTGAAGTTAATTAGAAAGGATTAGGGTGCGTAGGTTTGTGCAACTGATTTAGGCAACATTGTTCTATTCTGTGCCTGTTCATTACTTGTGAAACTCTGAAACCCCGAACGTTAATAATGGATTCGTGAGTATATTTACTTTTTTGTATTCATATATTACTCCATTAATATATTAAGAAATGACATTATCTGTGATATTATGTCATCCCAGTGAGTAAGTGGTCGAACGCAACACGATTGTGCAATTCTTGCTTTCAATTTTTGTTACCTCGTGTAAAATCGCGTTAGAAACCGCGTGTGTGAAATCAGTTCTCTGAGTTGTATATAAAGTATTTTATTAATATTTGTTTTCCATTATTAATTTTTTAATGCAATAACAATTCCCAAAGAATTAGTTTTTACCATAACTTAAATTTTAGCCTAAATTAGACTTAACCACTTAAACAATCTGCGTTTTAGTAACAAAAATATAAAGTGTATGAATTTTCTAATAATAATAAAAAAACATCTTAATCTTTGCTGTAATGATTTAATGAATGTTCATTCTGTTTTAAAGCTTAATCCTGAAAAAAAAAGAAAGTCGTATCAGAAATGCCAGTAGAAATACTAGGGTGAACAAATTGGATAATAAAAATAAAATGAGAATTACAAAAAAATAGGCAGTAGCATCACATTCAAATATCAAGGACCATAACAGCACAATAGTAGATGTGGGAGGGGCAAGGGAGATGTGGAACACAAAATCTAAAAAAACTTGTGAGGTGGGTGGCATCGTGCCTTAAGGCAAATTGCTGGAACTTCCCGTACCGTAACGAAATGTTCGAGGATTACTGAATGATTTCAAATAGATTATTATAAATATTGTAAAATTGTCTAATATTTATAAATATTATATAAACTGAATTGCGGAGTTGAAATTATTTGTAAAGTATATTAGAACTATAGTCAGAATTAAAAATAAATATTTTCGATATACAAAAAACTAAAAAAAAAAAAAAACTAAAAAAAAAAAATGGACAAATTTTTTTTTGCCAAAATCGATTATTTTGTTAAGACAAGCAGAAAGTTCTTTGAATCATTTAAATCGGACGCTTAGTTCTCTCAAAAACTGCCATTTTTTACATATTTAGCTCCGTATCTTCAAAATGGCTGGGCCTGCCTTTGCCAAAAACTAATAAACACTTCTCCCAATCATTACTAATTGAATGTTTTTTAGATCATTCAAATCGGATACTCCGTTCTCTCAAAAATACGATTTCTATTTTCTGCACTCTTTGCTCCGTATCTCCAAAACGGCTGGACCTGCCTTTGCCAAAAACTAATCAGCTCTTTTCCCTATCAATAGAAATCGGATGTTTTTTGAACCATTCAAATCGGTTGATCCGTGCGCCCTAAAACGTGACTGGAAATTTGTATCCACACATACATACACACACACACACACACACATCCATTTTTTCTGAGGTATGCCAAAACGTTCAGAAACCTTCAAAACGTCGAGAAATGTAAAAATTTTCAATTCCAATTTTCGGCCCATTACAATAACTTACCCTACGGGATGTTAATAATATTTTTCTAACCAAGTGTATCTATTGCCGTAAGACCTTATTCAGTCACCGACCGTGGTCGAGTAAACACTAATTCACTCCAATAATTTTATACCTAGAATTCTCGAAATAAATAAGTTTATAACCTACGAAGAAGAGTATTATACCTGTTCCTTAAATATTGTTGTGAATCAAGCAAATTTTTACCGAAGACTCTTATACCTGCCGCCATAAAGTTGTTACCTATATATCACCTATATCTGTTACCTGTTTATCACCTATCAAGATGGTCAACACTAGAAGCCAGATGAGTCAAAACTCTTTTAATGATTCAGTTGTGGGTGAGTCTGTTAATTTAGATTATACCGTTATTTGTGCCGAATGTATTTCTTTACGGGAAGTTATTAATTCACAGAATTTATTGCTCAATGAGAGGGACAGACTAATTGCTAAGCTTACAAAAGAGCTGGCGATAGCCAATTCCAAGTTGCAAAGCATTAGCTCTAATTCTTCCAATGTGCAATCGGAAGTGAATGTAACATCCAAAAATGTTAAAAGTAAAGCTGAACTAAAGTACTAATTTTGTCCGACAGCCACGGCAGATCCTGGTCCGGGTTCTTAAATGGTTTGTTAGGTCCTAAAGTTAGTGTGTTCGGTATGGTCAAGCCGGGTGCGGGTTTTTCTAGCGTGGTCGCTGGCATTGGGGATCTGGTTGGTGATTTTGGTGTTCGGGATCATGTTGTTGTTATGGCCGGGACGAACGACGCTGACTCTGATTATGCTATTCGTGATGCGCTAGAGTTTGCCCGTCGATCTTGTAGTAAAACAAACCTTTGTTTTGTTACAATTCCCTTCCGATATGACAATCATGGCCTGAATTCTAGAATTTTCCAAATAAATCGTTGTATTTATCGTGATTTTGGTCATGGTAAATTCAGGGGTGTTAAGGTCTTTGATGTCAATAGATACGTTGATAGACTCGACTACACCAGGCATGGTCTCCATTTCCTTTCAAATGTAAAGCAGAAACTCTGTCGTTTTCTCGTTAGAGAAGCGCTGACTCTGCCAAATTCCAAAGACTCCTGCTCCTTTCGCTTTTGATTCTGACGACGCTTCATCTTTTATATTTTGTCAAAATATTCAAAATTTACCCAATAAATTACTCAAAATTGAATTACTTTTAAATGACTATAAGCCTTATTTTTTATGCTTTTCTGAACATTGGCTTAACGAAACCAAAATCAAATTAATTAAATTAAACGGTTACTATCTATGTTCCTCTTTCTGCCGAAATGATTTTAAGCATGGAGGCGTCTGCATTTTTTCGTCGGTTAAAATTAAATGTAATAACATTATAACAAATATTGCACCTGTTGAAAAAATTTTTGAATTTTGCGCTGTAGAAGTCAATTTTTCTCATACTACTTATTGTATTATTTGCGTATATAGAGCTCCAGATCAAGATGCTATTAAATTTATACATTTACCTTATCCTCATGTAGGAATCTTTTCCGACAATATAACATTCTCACTGTTCCCTGTATATTTTTGCTAATTACGTTGTCATTTATAAAGAATAATCCTGAACGCTTCAACCTATCCTCCATGTTAAATTCCTATTATAAAACAAGAAATTTGACTATAAAAGGACCAACTTTTAAACTTGAAACATCTTTTAATACCAATTTTTTAATGTCAATTTTTCTCATACTACTTATTTTATTATTTGCGTATATAGAGCTCCAGATCAAGATGCTATTAAATTTATACATTTACTTTATGTTCTAATGGAAGAACTTTTTTATAAATATAACTCTATTATTGTTCGCGGTGATTTTAATATCCATCTGGACAAAAGCTCTAAAATCAGCGAAAGTTTCAAATCTAGCATGGATTCATTTGGTTTATTTCCTACCATAAATGATCCCACGAGAATAAGTACTTCTTCTTTCTCTTGCATTGACAATTTTTTCACAAATTTAACTGATATAAAAACATTTGTCATTAATACGGGTCTTTCTGATCACTACGGAATTTTCCTATCTTTATTAAACAACACAACTTTACAATCTATTAATTATCAATATAAAAGAAATTTTAATAATAATAATAAACTCTTATTCAAAGAATTATTAGAAAATGAGACGTGTAATCAATCTTATGAAAATATTACTTTTGACTCGTTTATTAATTCTTTTTTACATAAATTTAATCTTGCTTTTCCGCTATTGAAATATAAAATCCAAGTTAATAATTTCCATAAATCTAACGCATGGTATACTCAAGGCTTGAGAATTTCGAACAATAAATTACTAAGTCTAGAAAGAGCGTCTAAAACCAACTTCGATATCGACTTTATGATTTACTTTTTAAAATACAGAGAAATTTTTAATAATATTTGCAAATTAGCAAAAATCAAGTCTAATGAAAGTGTTATTTATAATTCGTACAATAAGCAGAAGGCAATGTGGTCACTAATTAAATCAGAAATTAATTATAAATCAAGCTCTTCTGACATAGAATATCTTAATATTAACAATGAAAAAGTCAATGATAAAATAATTATAGCAAATGCTTTAATAACTATTTTGTTAATGAATCTTTTTATATAACATCCAATATTGTAATCGATCCGAATATTTCAGCAGCACATTTTTCTAAAATTATTAGAAATCAGAATTCACTGTACCTATTTCCCATAACTCCTGAGAAGCTGTCGAAAACAATTCTGTCCCTTAAAAATTCATACTCATCTGGTCCTGATGAAATTTCGTCTGATATTTTAAAATAATTCTATCCACTATTCATTGATGATCTCCTTGCTTGCTTAAACAACGCAATTAGTAACGGTGTCTATCCGAATCATTTAAAACATTCAAAAATTAGGCCACTTCATAAAAAAGGGCCCACTGACATTATCAATAATTACAGGCCAATTTCTCTATTAAACACTTTTGACAAAATTTTTGAAAAAATATTACATAGTCGGCTAAACAATTTTTTAACAGTTAATAATATATTATATAAAAATCAATTTGGGTTTCGTCGAAATCACTCTACCTCTCACTCAATTTACACATTAGTCCATGACATTATTCACTCTTTCGAAGATGGTAGTTTCTGCGTTGCAGTTTTCTGTGACTTGTCCAAAGCTTTTGATTGTATCTCCCATGAAATTCTTTTAAACAAGCTCGATAAATACGGTGTACGTGGTATAGCTCTTGAATTATTTTCATCTTACTTATCAAATAGGACTCAATCTGTTTATCTTAATGATCGTGGTTCAGTAATTATCTCAGACAAACAAAATATTAAGCTCGGTGTCCCTCAGGGCTCAATTCTCGGACCATTATTATTTCTCATCTACATAAACGATCTGCCAAAATGTACAGATCTCTGTAAATTTATTCTTTTTGCCGACGACACTAGTGTGATTATAAAAAGCAATTCCTTAGAAGAAGTAAATAATAAATTAAATCTAGTTATGAAGTCAATTTCGAATTGGTTCAATTCTAATAATCTTTTGCTCAATAATGACAAAACCCAAACTATGTCTTTTCGAACAGTAAATAGGATAAGTCATGAGATCAATTCTTTAACTATCAATAGCATTCAATTTGAATTTTCCTCAGTCTCAAAATTTCTAGGCATCCAATTACAAAAAATAACAAATACTATATGGGGAGCACACCCAGAGACATGCCTTTTACTGTACAGAAATTTGATTAGAACTCAAATAGATTACGGATGCTTTATATATGGAACAACGTCAAAAACTGAACAATATAAACTTGATAAAATTCAATATTCCGCAATAAGAACATGCATAGGGGCATTTAGATCAACACCGACAAATGCGTTATTAACAGAAGCAGGAGAACCTCCTCTGAGCATAAGAAGAGAGATTCTAGCAAACAGATTCTTGATGAAAAAACTTAATGGATCATGTAAATTATTACCCGAACAGTTAGAAAAACTAGCAAGATTACATTACTCCACACGCTACTGGATAAACAAACCAGCTCCATCACTAATAAATAGTTTTTATACAATTAAACCTCACGAAGAGAACATCATAATCAATGATAAAACTCCATATTATATCTACCCACCGCTAAACGACTACATTAAACCATACATCGATATAGATAAGAGCACAAATATAGCAAACACGGACATTTATATCCGTGAATTAGAACTTCATATCAACTCAAATTGGCCGGATTATTTGCAAATATATACGGATGGCTCTAAAACATCAGAGGGAACCGGATGTGCCATACATATTCCAAGAATCCATTACAGTAACAAAGTAAGACTTCCAAACTATACATCCATATTTTCAGCGGAACTTATAGCGATATACACTGCAGTAAAATATGTGAATGACAATAATATTAACAAATCTTTGATACTAAGTGACAGCAAATCAAGTCTAACAGCCATAAAACACGCCAATAAACATTCAAATATAATAATATACAAAATTATAGAAATCATAAAGAAAATCAATACTGATGATAAATCCATGATTCTTCTTTGGATAAGAGGTCATTCTAATATAAAAGGCAACGAGATGGCAGACAATCTAGCTAAAGAAGCGTGCACGAGCGGCGATCAATTTGCAAAAACGTCTGCGCTAGATTTAAAACATTTAATAAAACAACAAGGTTTGGAACTATGGCAGAAGTCTCACTCAGAAACTACAAAGGCAAAAGGATTCACATATGCACTGACGAGAGAGATTGTTTCACCAAACACATGGTTTAAAAACATAGAAGAAAGTCGAAATTTTATAACAGTAATCTGCAGATTGAGACTCGGACACTCCTACTGCAAATCGCATCTGAAGAGAATTGGTATCTTACAGGATCCAAAGTGTGACTGTGGAAGCCTAGAAACACTCGATCATTTATTTTGGGAATGTAATTTTTATCAGCAAGAAAGATCAAAATTATTTAAGAATTTACAAAACGTAAAGATTATTTTTCCCATCAATGTACAAATACTTATATCAAGTAATGACATACGGATATATAAATATTTATATAATTTTATAAGTAATAGCAAAATTAATTTATAGCATAATTATTATTATATAAGTACCAATGTATTGTATAGAACTGCTACAACTGTATAGATAATTGTAATGGCAAAATGATGTAAATCAGAAGCCAAAATAAATATAAAAAAAAAAAAAAAAAAAAATTACAAAAAAACTTAAACTGGGACAATCATATTCATTCCATACTTGTACCTAAGTTAACTAAAACCTGTTTCATGTTGAGAATTCTTAAATCAAAAGTTAGTTCAAATTGCCTTCTTTCAATTTATTATTCTAATTTCTATTCGCATCTCGCTTATGGAATACAATTCTGGGGATTCTCATCATCCTTAAAGGATATATTCAAAATACAGAAAAGAGCATTAAGAATAATTTTTTCCCTCAGTTCCTTATCCTCATGTAGGAATCTTTTCCGACAATATAACATTCTCACCGTTCCCTGTATATTTTTACTAATTACGTTGTCATTCATAAAGAATAATCCTGAACGCTTCAACCTATCCTCCATGTTAAATTTCTATTATAAAACAAGAAATTTGACTATAAAAGGACCAACTTTTAAACTTGAAACATCTTTTAATACCATAGACGGAAGAGGAGTACAGCTTTTTAATCTACTCCCTCTACATATTAGGAAACTGAATGATCGTCAATTTCATAATACTATTGTTAAACTTTTAAAAGCTCAAAGTTTCTACGATACTTCTGACTTTGCCAATTTCGATATCAAACATTATTTTGATAATGAAATACCTACTGTTACTAATTAATACTTCTTTTTGCAACAGTTACAATTTTTTTCCCCTTTTCAATACCTTTTCTAATTTTTATTCTAAATTATTTTACCATTTTCCTACTTTAAGTATTTTATCATTACAATTATTTTCATATTGTATATTCTTTTTTTGATACTGCTCTTCTTAATTTTTATTTTCCAGATATGAGACTCAAATAAAAATTGCATAACGGATATTTCAAGGATTTTTTTACCATAAGAAGACTCTCAAGATCTACAACAATTAAACTATTTGAATTTTATTACATTTTATTTTTTCTTCAAGTTATTGTATTAGATATTACTAATGTTAGGCGTAATATTGTTTAATAGTTGTATTTTACTATACTTAATTCAATTAGGATAATTTATAAATGTAAGTACAATTTAAGATACAAAGTATGAAAAGATTTATAAGTCGAATGCCATTCATATAAGCAAACAAAATGTGCACCAAAATTCAGATATAAAGTTATAGGAAGCTAGGAATGAACATATTCGGACTGCCCACAAACAAAAGACTTGCCCTTCATAAATAAAAATGATTCAAAAAGTGTAACCGTTTGGGTTGAAGAGAATCAACGAAGAACTTCAAAATTTTATTTTATATTAAAGCTAACGCGAATTATTAGGTAATTAATTCTAGTAATTATAATAGATATGCAGGAGCAAGTGTTATTGTATCTGCAAATGGCACAGACTAGATTTGCATTGACAGTACTAACGGCTGTGGATTTAAATTGCATACACTCTTAGTGATTGATAAATTTTGGAGTGAGATTTTGCTTCTTGCATAAACAAGACAAAATAGTTCTTAAAAAATCTAATTATTTCATGACAGACGATGCTCCAGCATATTTTAATTCCTATTCATGCGTTACGGTGTCACCAGGTAAATTATTGTGTTCATTGCATGTGCCCACGAATTGAAAAGAGCTATGAAATTACCATCAACTATGAAGATTACCAATAGATAGAAATATATTAGATACAAATATATTACAGATAGATAGGCAAATTTATGAGAAATTAATGGCAACTCGGATAATTCTAATTAAAAAATACCACTTCGTGGTACAGTAAAAGTCAATGAAACTGCTGTGGATGCATCCCTTCGGCAAAACTAAAAGTGACCGTAGTTTTCTTTAATTACCCTTACAATCGTTAATTAATATACTGTTTTAATATATTATTATACACAATACTTCAGTGCGAAATATAACAACCATCACAGCACAGGTATTACGAAATCCTCACTTTAACTTTTGATTAATAGGTAATGAAACATGTAAGATAATCAGATGCAATATTAAAACTTTACGGCGTTTTGAACAATATGCTCAAAACCAAAAATTCAGCACAGCGTTTGATTAATACTTTAATATGGTAATCCAGTAAAATTAGGTGTCAGACAATATATTCAAAAAAGTAATAAGTAAAGGGTCTGATCGTGTTTCCATACAGAATTGGCCCCACCCTGGTATTTAAATAATTTTAATGCCAATATATAGCATTTTTCGAGAAAATTCGAAATACCAAATTTCAAATCCGTAGCTTATCATTTGGCCGAGATATCATTAAAAATATGTGAAAGTGGCCCCTCTTTTCAAACTCACTTTTAGCCGAAACGGTGCAAGATATCGAAAAAAAAATTTCATCGTTGTGTTCACAGTGCACTGTACTATATTATTTATAACAAATGAAGTTTAATAATTATTTACAAGTGCATAAAAAAGTTAAAATAATTTTTTGTTCTGCATTCTCGGCCAGTGCAATTGTTTGGACTGATTTTTAATTAGCATCATTCGAAAGTTCATATATTTTTCCTTTGTTGAGCAAAATTTTGTTAAATTCTATGTGGTAAAACACATTGAAAAATTAAAAAAATTGAGGGAAGTACCAGCGCGCCTCGGGCATATTGCAACGTGCATTGATTGCGCTGGACAATGAGCACACGCCTTAACAAAAACTCTGCTTAGAAATATATATCATAGAAATTCATTTGTATGTTTATATACGTTCAAAATGAGTCAAGCATTCCTAAAGCCGGCCACAGACGTAACTGTATGCATGTTTATGTTTATGTACTTGCGCAAGCATATCGAAAATGTCAAAACATAAACTAAAAATATATCTTTGTGATAATTGGTATTATTTTTTACTGAATTATTTGTGATTAGGCTATTACTGTAGGTCATATTTTTTTTTTATCTAAAATTAGTGCAGAAATGGATGACGATTTTATAGCCATAGATTTGATGTCATTTGTATTTGCCACAAAAAATGGAAAATAACTAAAATGAGATCTATTTGGTGCAAGGAATGGCTAAGAAAAAGGGAACTGTTCTCGCATATAAATCTATTAAATGAATTCAAAGAAGCACCAAGGGATTGGCATAATTATCTTCGCATGGACGAAGAAACTTATTTAAAATTGCTAAAGATGGTTTCACCTCTAATTAGAAGACAAGATTCTATTATGCGTAAAGCTATTTCGCCACACGAAAAGTTGACGGCAACATTAAGATTTCTCGCAACTGGAAGGAGTTATGAGGATTTAAAGTTCACAACATTAATATCTCCTCAGGCATTGGATGTAATTATTCCTGAGACGTGTGATGCTATATCTAAAGTACTGGAGAAAAATTATTTCAAAGTAAGTATAAAAGTCAGTATGAAAGTATATTAATGTATTTATTTATTTATTCTTAAACAAGCCGTAATCAATAAAGAGTATGATTATTTTAATGTGTCAGGTTTGTTAATAATTAGCAATTAAAGTTGGATTCAATATTATGATATACATAGGGACACAAAAACCTACTTCTAAAATAAAAAGAAAGGAAATGAAACATTTAAAGATTTAATATTACACTAATCATAAAAATTAAATTAACTAAAAGACTTTTTTAATTTTCTTATATTCTTTATTAATATTCATCATAATGTTCTAAATATTCTGCTGCTGATGTATATGATACTAATCCAGATGATCTTCATCTGGATTAGTATCGTTCATAAATCTTCGTACTACTCCACGATTCAATTCACCCATTTCGGCTTTAAAAATAGCTTGATCAATGATATTTTTTATCATCGGCGTTTGTGTTTTTGGCATACGTCGAAGTGTCGCTGCTATATATTTTCCATATGCTTCATAGTCCTCGGTAGGATTGTTTAGGCGTTTATTTATTGACATCAAGACCTCATTTTGCAGTTCTTCTGTTGTGCTCCGCCGCTTCCGTTTGGGAGGTCTTGAGCTGCCGGTAGGTTCAGAAGAACAACTTGGAATGGAAGAAGCTCTCACAGATAATTATTCATCCCCATCATCAATAAAGCAATCACTTTCCCTAAAAATATTTAATTATGTTTTTTTCTATTTTTTCAGTTTTCACAAACAGAAGAAGATTGGAAAAAGACAGCAAAGAAATTTGAACAACGTTGGAACTTTTCACATTGCCTAGGCGCGATTGATGGCAAACACATAGACATTATTCCTCCTAGTGGAAGCGGGTCTTATTACTACAATTATAAATGTCGTCATAGTATGGTGCTACTTGCAATAGTAAATGCAAACTACCAATTTAACATGTGTGACTTTGGAGTTAATGGCAGGATATTAGATGGAGGTGTACTTCAAACAACCGAATTCTATGACAAGCTACAAAAAAACGAATTGAATATTCCATCAAACGACCCAATCAAAAATAGTTCTGAAATACTGCCATACATATTTATTGCTGATGATGCTTTTGCTTTGAGAACGAACATTATGAAACCATTCCGTCAGTCAGATCTTACTTCAAAAGACGCATTGTGGAAAACGCTTTTGGTATATTGGTTTCTAGATTTAGAATATTTAAAACACCAATAAATGTCCAGCCAAATAACATTGATCGTATAGTACTGGCAAGTTGTGCTTTACACAATTATTTGATGACCAATTCTACTAACTCATATACTTATGCAGAATGTGTTGACAGAGAAAATATGAAACAGGGATGAATTACACAGGGGTTGACTTCTAAAGATTCAAACATGAAACATTTGAATCAACGATATTTAGGAAATAGTCCAAATGCCGCAAAAATCGTAAGGGAAAAATATGTGCATTATTTTAATAATGAGGGAAGCGTGCCTTGGCAAGACAACTTTATTCATTGACATTATGAAAATTATCATTATTTATGTTATGCTTTGATTTGTATAATGAATACTTTTAATAAATAAAGTTACTGTGAACTTACTTGATCGAAATTAATCCCTGATATATTAGAATGGGCCCGTGGTACCGAATGATCATCATCAAGTAAAGTGAGAAGTTTGAAATACCATAATTTCGGTTCGTACACTTCTGATGTGCTTGCGCCAGATCTTTTCGATTCATCAATTTTTTTCTTTTCTTTTCTATAATTTGTACGCAAGCTATTAATTTTCTTTACTATTAAGTTACGATTAGCATTTGGTTCTATATATTTGTACTGTTGCACTAATTTATCATACGCAGAATTTTTCAAATTTTTATCATGATAAGCTGCAGATTCGACTTGCCACAAGCAGGGTTCATTCCAATATATTTCTATGAAGACTTCCATGATCTCTCTGATTCCTCCTTCTCCATGTTGGTTTACATAAAACATATTTTCCTTTAATTTTAATAAGGCAATAAAGCATGTGTATATAAACTAAACTATGCAAGTTATAATCATTATGATAAAAATATTTGTAAAATAAAAAAATATAATGTTGAATAATAACATAACATATATAAAATTATAAATATGATAAAAACATACTTGAAAATTACCCTGATTATCACACAAAAATATTAACAGGATTTTATCCGGAAGTTATATATAATATGTGTTATCATGGAATTAAGTAATATGTTTAAATCAATGAAAGACAACAAGAAACGTTATAAACATAAGTTATTTTTTTATTTAAATTAAGAACCGGAAACTCTAACAATGTTATCGCTGCTATTTTTAATATTTCTAAAAGTCAAGTTTTTCATTACTATTCTCAAATTGGATTTGAAAGGGACATATTAGTTCAAAATTATGGATTAGAGTCTTTTACAAGAGACCATTAATTTTGGAGACTTCGTACAATGCAAAAAAAATTCTTAATTTGCCTGAAGATCGGTTAGTTTTAATATGTGACGGTACCTGCATACGTCATGAAAAAAGCACAGATAATGAGTACTAAAGAAAGTTGTTTTCAGGCCAGAAACGGGTTCCATTGTGTAAACCATTCACGATTTGCACAAGGAATAGTTTTGTCGTTGACTTCTTCGGGCCCTTTCTGGCAACACAAATTGATGAAAATATTATGAAAATTATATTGAAAGATTCGCACGGAGTACACACCACGCGGAACCGTGGACTAGTAAAACCAGTTCTCTTAACGGATTAAGGACTGTTGGTTGCTGCTCTCACAGTTCCGCGATTATATATTATTTTTCATATGCAAGATATTTATCGCGAACTATACGCCCGTACGAAATACTATCTAAAATATTTATCACTGAAAAAACCTCAGTTTCTATAAACAATGATAGCGATTATTATCAAAAGTATTTTAATTCACTTCCATATTAGTATGATAGGTATAAAAACCATACACTTATGTAATATTTTCATTATTTTGTTAGTTATTTATGTTAATGATATAAAATATTAAACATAAAATGTACATGTACAATGTATAGAACAAATAATATCTAAATTTAAAAGCATTATATATGAATATAAACATATATTCGCATATAATCGATAATCGATAACTATGTTTCTAATTTAGCTATATTTTTCATCTTTTATTTAGGAATATAATATGAAATATTAATCATATAATATATTTGTGCATTATGAAACAAATGAACTTGAAATAATTTATTACACACATGCAAATATATAAAAATGATATATAAATAAATATATTTATTTTACGCATACACAATTATAAAAATATAAACGTACATATATAGTGTTTTACTGAATGTTTTACATAGAATTCAATATACAGTGCTCTGACTGCTCTGCTCGCCTTGCAATTGAGAGACGACTTATGCGGCTGTTCTATGAGCGCGAGCGTGTACTTGCTCAGGTTATTTCAACTTTTGAATATGTTCTACCACATGGACCAAAACAAAATTTTGCATAGCATAAGAAAAACGAATAGCCATTCTAACGATGCTAATTAAAAATTAGTCCAAACAACCGCACTACTCAAAAATTTAGAACAAAACTAATAATATAGTCCAAATTGATGTGAATAGAATGGCGTTAATTGTTTGTCGATATCTTTAACGGTTGCATAAAAAACGACTTTGAAAAAAGGGGCCACTTTCACATATTTTCAATGATATCTCGGCCAAATGATGAGCTACGGATTTGAAATTTGGTATTTCGAATTTTCTCGAAACAAGCTATAAAATGGCATCAGAATTATTTAAATACCTGTGTGGGGCCAATTCTGTATGGAAATACGTACAGACCCTTTTTAAAGTAAGTAAAAAAAATAATAAGTAAATTTTTCTGCCAGAACTGATCGCAGTAGTAATTTAAAATTATACTTCAGAAGCAAAAACATTTGGACTAAACTTGCATAATAAAAATGAAGATATAAAAGGCATGACTTGTACGAAGCATATAACAAATATTGATCATATTGTTCAATATTTTTTACACATAAAAACGGAGAATAGTGAATATATTTCATTCAATCCATATAGAATTTTTAGTAATTTTAGAGGTTACATGTTTGGTTGGTCACAGAGATAAATTATACGCATTGTATAAATCGATCCGTATTATTCTGCATACATTCACACCATGCAACTAACATAAAATGCCATAATGACGTTAGTATTTCAAAGTATTTCATTTTTATATAGAAAAGTGCAAGTAATATTAATTTGTGCAAGTTGGTTTATAGTGTTGATGTATAGTTGTGTTTGTAATTATTTACTTATTTATAATTTTTATAAATAAGTATTGTTTTGCGATCATATTCAATTCATTTCAGTAATTCTTTCAGTCACATAACTGATATCTTTATTAAAATTGTTTCAAGAACATTCCAAGAAATAAATTCGGCTCATACTAATCAGTTTATTATGTCTTTTCTTGATGACACCTTCATATTCACAAAGCAAGTAGTATTATTTATATTATCTTGTATCGCATTCGTCTCGTGATTTATCTTTTTGATACAATTGGGACTGTCACACATATGCCCATTGCCAAGAGCAGTATCAATTATTAACTTCTAAATATGATAGAAGTATTAACAAATTGTATGTGAATGAGCAATATAGAATGGACTTTCTATAATATAATTGACATGCACTCTCAGCTTTCATTAAATTCTCATTTGATGTACTAGCATTAATTCACTGGTAATTAATAAATGAACAGCGATGCTTGGTCTTCAAAAATACGTATTCATTATTAATACAACTTAACCCATTTTGAATTGTTTCAGCATGTGCTGGACACTTGCAAAAACTACATATCTCCTGGATCATCAAAAATTGTAATCTCGTATGGAATAAATGAGATGGATTGATTCATAATTTCTCAGCTTTTGGATCTTCCAACAAAATATTCAAATTAAATTATGTTCACAGTAAATATGACTCATCATATTATCAGTTCTGGGCCAGCGGTGGCGATATCGGTTAGAACGTAAGCTAGCAGCAACTAGTCCCGAGTTCGCTGGTTTGATTTCCCCTACCGCCATAGTAACTTTTGATGTCAAATTTACACTTGAGGTTATAGATCTCAAATATAGCCTCAAGTGAAATCGCCTCTCGTGGGTATAGTTGCATATATATAACAAAAATGTCAGAAAATACTTAATTAGTCATAAATGGATCGGATAATTATTGGGTTGCCATCAATTCTAAAATCCATATAATAAAAAGTCAAACCAATTACTGAATGCCTTAAGTGTGATAGATTATAATTAAAATAATTATAATAAAAAAAATATTATCAGTTCTAGTTTTTCCAAACGATGTTTATGACACCTATATTTATAATTCGAATTTCTAGTAACGATGTTGCTACCCTATATAGTTTAGGGTATCAATAATTGATATGTTTTAGTACAGTTTTAGTACAGCAATATTGCAAACATAATAAGAATTATTAAACATATTATGTCATATTTGTTTCATTTAATAGGATGACAGCAACCATAACACTCGAATCCTTCATTTATTATCCATTTATTATAAACTTATTATTGCAATGTTGAATTTTAGTTCACATTTTTAACTAATTTATGCATTGCTTTAAGTTAATGCTTTTTCACGAATTATCAATTGAGTCTTAGTTCATTTTTGTGCCAAATCCATATATATGAATTCTTTAAATTCACTTTTACTCGCACAAAAGGTCTTACTTTTAATCATTAAAAAAAACTATATTTGAAGTTGTTTTATAATCAAACACTACAATTTGTTTTCAACTTATCTTATTGGTGTTGAAATTATGAACATTGCACAATTAACACTATCTGCTCGAATAGCATAATGACCGAATATACACTACAAGTATTTAAAAAACAAGTTTCAATACAATTGCGCAAATTTATTTCGGTAAAACTAGATTCAAAATAAATTAACTAAACAAGAATTCAATATTCTCCACATGATCAATTATACCTAAATTAGCTAGATTAATTATTGAAAAACCTATACAAGTGATGCCTTTTATGTTGGCAACTACAAGCACGACATCAAATGGATACAAATAATTCAATTATATTTGATTTGATCGACAAGTATGACCAAACTGTGAAAAAACAGCTACTTTCTTTGCAGATTACTTCTTCAGTGAAAAATAGGGAATTCAATTGAAT